GATTTAGTACAGGGACATGGATTGCCCATCTATCTTTGTCCCCTGCTTTTCTTCCAACATTTTCTCTGCATCAGCTTCTGTCTTAAACTCAATATAAGTGATCCCTTTACTCTTTCCATCCTTGGTGACTAATCTTATCTCCATAGCATCTTCAAGCACTTCTTGGTATTTGTCCTGAGTAACTTTACAAGGCAGATTTTTAGCCACAAGGATTCTTGCATCTCGATCTTTATTACGGTCTTTTCTCTTTCGTTTTTCTATTTTAATTTCATTGCCAAAGACTTTTAAACCAGTGAGTTCCAAGGCTTATTTCCAGATCTTCAGCAGATTCAAAATCTACATAGCCAAACCTCCTAGACCCACCGATTCTGACATCCACAACAGCAAGATCATTTTGAGCAAAAATGTCACTGAGACCGGTTTTTAATTCAGGAGGAGATTTATTGAAGTTCAGGTGTCCAACATAGAGATTGAAAGTTGTAGTTGGTTCTGTGGCTTCCACTTTTTGTTTCTTGGCTGCAGGAGCTGCTTTCTGTTTAGCCATTTCCTTATTTGTTTTCCAGGTGCTTCTTTGACAGGCTCTTCCTCCTCCTCTTCATCCTCATCGTCGTCCTCATCATCTTCATCGTCTTCGTGGGCGTCATCATCCTCTTTGTCTTCATCCTCTGCGGTGCTCTTGACCTTCACAGGAGCAGCTTTTGCAGGAGCTTTCTTGCCTTTGGCAGGTATAACCTCCATGGGTTCTTCTTCAGAATCATCTTCTTCATCACCGTCATCCTCCTCATCATCATCTTCCTCATCATCGTCATCATCTGAGGCAGCAGCAGTAGCTGCTGCTTTCATCACTGCTGGCGCGAATCCATCCTCATCCTCATCCTCCTCCTCCTCTTCCTCTTCCTCTTCACTGTCATCATGGTCCTCATCACTGTCTTCCTTCTTGGCGTTCTTGCCATTCTTTGCCCCCTTAGCTGGGGTGGCTGCTCCCTTTCACCAGGGGTTGCTACCAGTGCTTTGCCTGCTGTGGCTCCCTTCTTGCCAGGTGTCGCCACTGCTTTGGCTGGTGTAACTGCTGCTTTTTTGGCAGGGACCAGTGTAACCACTGCCTTTTTGCTGGGGGTGACAACTGCTTTCTTGGCCGGCGTGGGAA